AAGCCTGTAAATTTGAGTTTAAAAAACACCTCACATTTATTTCTGTCAAAAGAGTGAAGGAAAAAAAACCCAAAGGGATTATCGGTGGTTTAACTTTTCCTTCTTCTTCAGCAGGGCTCCGTTGGGATTTTTTTTTGTTGCGTTCTCTCAGGGGAATTTAGCTGATGTGGTTGGACAGAACAGCAGTCGTGCTGAGCTTTTTTTCCTGCACACGCTGCTGGGGTATTTACAGTTTCCAGATCTAATCTTTCCCCAATTAGAGCTCCGCAGCCGTCATCTGCTGTTTATGTTTCCTCCAGAAGTTGTCAAAACACATTACGCTACGTTGATTAGCTCTCATTGATGTTGTGTTGCCTTGTGGTGAGTCGGAGGACTACACTTGATGGACCCCAGTACAGCGGTCCCTCGTCTGTCACGGGGGTTACGTTCTCAGACGCAATAGTTATTATATTATTTACACATATATATTAACCCTTTACGAACCCTTTGTAAGAGCGTGAAATATGGCAAAAAAAAAACATTTTTTACTGTTCTTTTTCTTTTTAGGCTCAAAAATGCTTATTGTATCACGAAAATAATGCAAATATTGGAGATGTAAAAAATGTTATATATTTAAAAAAACGATAAAAATCTGCAATACAAGAATATATTTAAAATGTGACTGAGTGAGGGCGACAGCCGAACCATGATACTACTGTAGTAGTACAGTTTGGTAGTACAGTTTGGTAGTACAGTTTGGTAGTACAGTTTGGTAGTACAGTTTGGTAGTACAGTTTGGTAGTACAGTTTGGTAGTACAGTTTGGTAGTACAGTTTGGTAGTACAGTTTGGTAGTACAGTTTGGTAGTACAGTTTGGTAGTACAGTTTGGTAGTACAGTTTGGTAGTACAGTTTGGTAGTACAGTTTCCAGATTTGTATTTCTCACATCTAGCTCTCATATATTTTCTTTTTATAAATCTATGAATAACTTGATGTCATATTTTCCTGGTGTTAAATCTCAGATATAATATATTTTTTACTTCAGAGCTCCAACACGGAGACTTTAAAAAATCAATATAAATTTCTTAGTTGCAAAACTTTTATCTCCAATTTAATTTAAGACCTTAAAAAAAAAAAAACTTTACAATTTTTTCTGAAGTTTTCTTTTTTAATCTCCCTGTTTCTCATCTTAAAGAATTATTCCAAATCAAAACACTCTTTTCTCTTGCCCAGTAAAAAGGAACAGTTCGGCTTTCTGTCTTGTTTCTCTCATGACCACAAACTGGGCCACACGTCGCCCACTAGAGGCTGTTTGGATAAAGAATCGATGTTGTAATCTGAAGACTGCTGGTTCAAATCCCAGCAGACAGGAATGTGCTGTTTTAAACAAGAACCAACCGCTCCCGCACCCCCAGAGTACACATAAAGAAGTGCGGCCTGATTGTCTGGTGGTAATTACTGCAGTGTTTCAGGGATGGGTTAAATGCACTGAGTAATTTAAATGAGTAATTTCCCAAAGGAGTTTAACAGAGTACCTACAGAAGTAACGATCATGCTTACAGTCGTTCCTGGGGCCAGAGCCGGGGCGTGGAGCCGTATGTTTTTTCCGAGTGTACTTAAAAAAATGTTTTTAATTAAGACGTCCTACAAACACACGGAGGAGAGAAAGTAGTTGAAAGTCTCAGCAGCTTTGATGTTAGTTTTCAAGGCTACACAACATCACGCCATTCCTCCCCTTCCTCCTCCTCTTCCTCCTCTTCCTCCTCTTTCTCCTCTGCAGGCTGTAGTTTATGTCGATGAATCAGTTTGATGTTTGTGGTGAGGATTTGTGATGCCGTCTGAAACATGAAGATCTGAAATATGCCTGTTGGAAGTCTGCCCTGTATCACTGACGGATAAAGTGTGAACCACACATACTAATGAGACCTGGCCTCGTCGTGAGGACAGCGTTTCAATACAAAAAAAAAAAAATCGATGAAAATTTGATCAAAGAGAGTTTTTATATATTCTGTCTATATTACAGCAACAGAGAGAAGAATTTCTTGATTTTTTTTTCCCCGCCTGGTGTTAAATTTAAAACTTGAGCGCAGATCAATGATGGAGTTTTGGATTTGTCTTTTATCGTTCCAATATTTTATATATGACATTATTTGTGACGATGTTGCAGAAATATTGTTTTAACTTAAAGTGTTTTAGTTCCAGTGCTGTGCTTCAGTGGACAGAGCTGATCTAGGTCAATCCAGAAGGTTGGAGGTTCAAATTCATTCATTCTTCATTGTTTGTCTTGTGGTTTGTTTTTGAAAACAAACAAACAAACAAAAAAGCTACGACATCAAGCCATTTTACAACAGCTACGTTTAGTTTAGTTTAATTAGAGCCAATAAAAAGACAGTTGTAGTTTTTAACTGAGAATTAATGAATTAAATTAATTAAACATTAGTAATGTTTAACCTTCGCTTCAAATGTTTAGGAAACATCTGCCTTCTTTTTTGTTTGTTTGCGGATGATCTGCCTTTTGATTAGGAAACAACTGCCGTCTTTTTTTTGTTTGTTTGTGGATGATCTGCCGTTTGACCCATAAAGAATTAAGAAGCTGAAGTGGACAAAAAAACGGACATAAAATCCGACTAAGCTAAGACGTGTTTCATCATCGTTGTCACATATTTCATTACTGCAGTAATAAATATTCCAGTGGAGTCGCTAATTAAAACCACTTAACGATACGCAGGGAGGAAACTGATTTTATTTTTGGTCAACGCTCGTTATTTTGAGTGGTTATACTTAGTATTCTACTCATAAAAACACGGTTCAGTCCCATCGAGTTTTGGTTGGAGATCAGAACAAGTGTTTAATAACGGACTCCCCAGAGACACGGCGGTTTGAACCTCCCAGTAACAAGCGAACGTTTGTTAAAGACACAGTTCGATCAGACGGTCCGGTCTCTCTGATGTTTCCACAGCTTTGATCCTTTCATGATCCCAGTCAGGGTTAAAGGCCCATTGAGTTTAACGTACTTCCTGTCGGCCCCGCGGGCGCAATCAGTCAAATCATTTTCACCAGTTGAGTTGTTGAATTCAGCCTTTGCCAGATGACGGACTGTTTCTGTCCCAGATCTAGAATGCTGATCCAGCACATTCTAACAGTTCCTCTGTCCTACATACGGTGTAGAATGATGGCACTCGCACGGTCCAGTTTCTCTTTTGGTAGACTCAGAATTAGTTTAGTATCAGTCAAAAGTTGTTTAAAAGAAAGTTAAATGTAAAATATTTCATCCTGATTAAATGTTACAAAAAGAGTACAGTGAAAACCATGATTTGCTGTTTCAAATTTCACATTAAAACAGGTCAAAAGTGTTGGGTTCTTGAAGCTAAATCAGCCTCAGCTGCTAGCGTGGAAGGTTGTCGGTTTCAGCACCACGGAGAGAGACAGGCTGCCACGGGAAAAACAGAGCAGATCTTCACTGAATATTTCATTTATTCAGACGTGTTTGACTGAGAGGAGGAGAACGAGGAGGCTGCAACAAATCCTGCAGGTTGTAAACCTGGAAGGTGTTAGTTTAACGTCTCAGTTTAAAGTCGGTTTTATTTTTAAACCACATTTGTCTCATTGGACCGAACGAAGTAAAACAAAGATTGACATTAAACTTATATTTCCTCCTAAAAAAACATTAAACAGGACTGGTTTTTTTTAGTTATCTCAGAGTTAAACTAGTTTGATTTTCATATATTTTGTGTATAATTGTGTAAATGAAATTAATTGACTTGTGACATCGTTAGCTGTGATTTTATTCTTCCTCTATGTTCTGTTAATGACTGTCTCTTTGTGACATTGATTCTAAACTTTGATATTTAAATGCTTCGTTATTTGGAAATCCCAGGCTTTACTATTTGTAGCTAATATTTAGCTTGTTCTCCCCATTGCGTAGGCTAACATTTAGCCAAGCAATCGTGTGGTTATTGGTGATTGAACCAGGTCGGACCCTGACAGTGGATTTTTTTGGTGATATTCAGTGTGTCGTCGCTGCCGTCACAGCGTTATATTTTCTTGACAAACATTTGAACGTGAACTGTTGATTCTGGAGCCGTTTGTAACTTTGTTTTCATTTTTTTTTCTTTTTCACCCGGTCAGTGTCAGTGAATGTCACACCAAACCCAGCAGTTTGGTTCAGTCCTGGTCCTGGTCCGTGTGACTGTGACTCTGCTGCTCTCAGCACGTGAGCTGGAGTATGATCATTGACTACTTCCCTATTTCCTCACACTCCCATATGTGGGAACCATGTGTGTGTGTGTGTGTGTGTCGTTACGATAGTGGCAGAGGATGTGGCCGCAGTCCTTATATGGTCACGTAGTTTGATTACAGTGAGTGCGTTTGTTACAGAATGAATCAGAGTGCTGTTACATCAGAGGTACGGGCAGGAGGCACAGATCGCTCACTCCAGCTGGAGCACACACACACACACACACACACACACACACACAGAGAGAGGCAGATGCCCTACATATCTGCCTCACAGAGATGTGTTGTTATGCAGCAGAGAATAAATGCAAATACATGAAGTGACAAGACGAGGCCACGCCTACTGCTCCAACTGTTCATCTCAACGACTGCGTTTGCATCAGTTTCAAAACATTATTATGACTTTATTAAGACTACAATATAACTAAACTGTTTGTTACATACAGGAAGTCAGCGTTTTAAGTTTGCTACTTTCCACTTCTGCGATTATTTGTTTTTTTTACACCAAAGTTTCTACTTTAATATCCACCAATGCAGTCTTAGAAGAGGTGACACAAATTCACCAGAGGAGGCAGCACTGAGCTGAATATAACCCTGTGTCTGATGACTGAAAATGCAAACTATTCAATTCACAAAATTATTATTTTATATTGTTTGTATTTTTTACTCTCATCTGTAGAAGAAAACATGATTTAAAATGAACTTTGACCTGACCCTCTGACCACACGTGGCCCACATTTGTGTACTGTATGAACTTATGCTAATCTAGTTCTCTTTCTCCGCAGGAACATTTCAGGGTCAGTGGGTCGGCGGGATGCGTCACGGCTACGGAGTTCGCCAGAGCGTCCCGTACGGCATGGCGGCCGTGATCCGCTCCCCTCTGCGTACCTCCATAAACTCTCTCCGCTCCGGGTCAGAGCACAGCAACGGTACAGCTCTGCTGGACCGGAGCGGGGCCGTGGTCCCCGGTCCTCCCCCCGGTCCTGGAACTCTGTCCACCAGCGTCTCCATGTGCAGCACGGGCAGCAGCGGCAGCAGCCCCGCCGTGTCCCGGGGAGGTTTTGTGTTGATGGCCCACAGCGAGGCTGAGCTGCTGAAGGGGAAGAGGAAAGGCGGGATCTTCAGGAGGTCCATCCTGTCGGGACTCAAGCTGAGGAAGTCCGAGTCCAGGAGCTCTCTGGCCTCACAGAGATCCAAACAGAGCTCCTTCAGGAGCGAGGCCGGGATGAGCACCGTGTCCTCGGCTGCGTCTGACATCAACTCTACTATCAGGTGAAAAAATAAAAAAATAAATACATACAGGTCAGGCTGGAAACTGTGATCTAGAGGGGAAAAAAAAGAATTTGTTAAAAACCAAGCGTAAAAAAAAGAAAATGACATTTTCAATGAGGCTAAAATCCCATGTTGTAATGGATTTAGCTGCAAATTCAAATATTTAAAGGACAATTTACCCTAAAAAGTTGACAGTTATTGACCTCGTTTCACCTTTGACCCCTCACTAGTGTGACTATGTGTCGGGGAATGTCTTTTATTTTAAAACAATATTGGAACAAATTCTCTTTTGGTGAAGGTTTAAAGCTTTAATTATTATACAGCTACATTTAAATGTCATTTGCCGACACTGATGACACCAATTATTGTTCTCTATGAAATCATTAAAAAAAATTCAATTCAAAATAAGAGTATTTAAAAAAACAAAACTGAACATGGCAGTAAAACAGTGCTGTCTTGACGTTTTCAGTCTCGGAGACGCAGACGCAGAGTTGGCTGTTGCCGATGACGATGTCGACGCCACAGCGACGGAGACCTACTGTGGAGAGTGGAAGAACGACAAGCGGACCGGGTTCGGCGTTAGCCGACGGTCAGATGGGTTGCAGTACGAGGGAGAATGGCTGAGCAACAAACGCCACGGCTACGGCTGCACCACCTTCCCTGACAGCACCAAAGAGGAAGGGAAGTACAAGCAGAACATCCTGGTCAGCGGGAAAAGAAAAAACCTCATCCCTCTACGGGCCAGTAAGATCCGAGAGAAGGTGGACCGAGCGGTGGAGGGAGCGCAGAAGGCTGCGGACATCGCCAGGCAGAAGTCGGCCATCGCTCTGTCCAGGTAAGGAGTGCGCGCTGGCGCCACTTAGCTATATACTAGTTAATAAACACTTTTTAGCTATGTTTTTCCATTTGCTAACATTTAGCTTTGATTATAACTTTATATATATATATATAAATATATATATATATACATATATATATATATAAATATATACATATATGTATATATTTATATATATATATATTTATATAAATATATATATATATAAATATATATATATATACATATATATATATATACATATATATATATATATTTATATAAATATATATATATATACATATATGTATATATATATATATATAAATATATATATATATATTTATATATATATATATAAATATATACATATATGTATATATTTATATATATATATATGTATATATATATATATTTATATAAATATATATATATATACATATATATATATATATTTATATAAATATATATATATATAAATATATATATATATATATGTATATATATATATATTTATATATATATATATGTTTTGGACCAGATTATGAAACCCAGATCAGATTTCATCTCAGTGCTACAAGCAGAAGTGATGTAGCTGTCCTGGGACCTGTTGTCATGGATACACATTGACACTCCTGTCACGAGGTCTTGTGTTGTTTGATGGTGTGAGGATGTAGGACCACAGAACCGGTGGCTCTGTAGAAGTACGCTGTAGAAATCCAAAATGTTTTTATTTTTTTGTATATATTCTATAAAAACATGTACAATCTTAACTAGTAGTAGTACACAACAATATAAAGATAGTGTCATTTTCTGTGTGTTTTACTGGACGTTTTTTTCCATGCGGCCAGATTTAGGTCTTTTTCCAACCTGTCCGTGTGCGAACGATAACCATGCTTTGTGTCAACTGCAGTTCCGTGTTTGGCCTGTTGGCCTGTTCTGGTCAGTTCACGTTCCACCGTTGCCGTCTGCAGATGTGGCTCACACATTAGTGTGACCATGTGAAAACGTGGTCAGAACATCATGTGATCTACAGCTGACCTTGGAAACAGGTCAATAATGTTGAGGTCACAGCGTGTTGTTGTGGTCGATATCTGTACAGTCTGTTTACGGTACAGTCTGTGGTGGAGGGAGCTTTGGCAAAGAGAGAGAGAGAAAGAGAAGAATTCAAAAATTAAATTACCGTATTTTCTGGACTATAAGTCGCTCAGTCGGAGTATAAGTTACACCAGCGCCCTCTAGCGGCTGTCACTGTGAAAAAAACATATGTAAATTTTTAGTGGTAAAGCAGTGGTAGATACTGGGGACATGAGCCTAGAGTGCCCTCTAGCGGCTGTCAGTGTGAAAATACCTGAGTATAAGTCGCAAACCACAAAATCGTAGGATGGAAAGCAGTTTGTTGTAACGACTTAATTATCAAAGAGTATCCAGTAAATTTGTCAAACTTTGTTACTGGCCAACATGGCCGCCTGGGCGTGTCTTTGGCTAATTTGTGCTACATGCTAAAAAAGCCATTTTGCAGTGGAACAGGTCAACTGTCGTAGATCATTCCTTCACTCGTCCACTAGGAGCCTGAGGACTGACCAGTTGGGTCTCACGTGAAAAAGTAAACATTAAACGTTTTCATGTAGCGAGTGTGTGAAAGGAACACTAGCCTCATTTTGTGTGACGTTCCGTTCAAACGCTGGTGACAAACAGGTGTCGACCGCGAGAGCGAAGATTATCTCGGCTAAAGAGAACGGTGCTGAGAAAACTTTGGAGGTCACAGGCTCAGGCGCCGGAGGGGAAGTATTTTGGGGAGGGACAGAGTGCCCTTGTTTAAAGTAGGGTGCAACTTTGTGTACACTTAAAGTAGAGACACTACAACCTGAGAGTACCGTCGCTACAGAACGGCAACACCGTGAAACCTCAACAGAGTTGATGGAGAGTTAACTGACAAGAAGGAAAAGATACACCATGGATATTAGAAGTACTGCAGTACCACCTGGTAGGTACTGTAGTAACTGTTGATTGGTTGATGATGTCTTTTGCTTCTACTTTACTCACAGTCATTTAGTCCAAACATGAGAACTGATCATTTCACTGCTGTAAACAGTTGCGTAAACACGTAATTCTTCAGCTGAAATCTGATTGGCCACTTAGACAAATAAACCAATCAGGATGCTCTACTGACCTTTGTTTATTTTTCTCTAGATTTCAGAGTATTTACCTGTATATATATATATTTTGTTCGAGTATCTTGTAGCCAAGAGTTTCCCCTGAAGTTCCAGGAGACTCAGGATGTCTGGTATAAACGGAAGCATCAGTAAAAGACAGAACATCTCCTCCTCCTCCTCCTCCTCACCCCCTCACCCTCCTCACCCTCCCCTCTCTCTCCGTCTATTTTCTACCTCCTGTCCCAGGACGGAGCTGCGGGGTATTTCCTTGTGGAACGCACCAGGAGGTGAAACACTTCATTTTTAAATAGAGCTCCAGTAAATGAAACCTGGTTCAGGTTTGGATGATGAGGCTGCATCCTGAAGAGCAAAAAGAAATCTGACAAACAACAGATTTGACAAAAAAAACAACACAACATTCCTAAAGTGGATGATTAGGGCTGTAAGAAAACAGTTGAATTAATTACCAACAGCCAGTCAAAAATTCCTGGACATGTAGTTAATTTTATTTTTATTTTCTTTCTTCTCTAGTGATTCCAAATGTAGAGCCCTCTGTTCTAATATATATATACATATACATATATACACATATATATGTATATATATATGTGTATATATATACATATATAGATATATCTATATATGTATATATTTATATTTATATATTATATATATATATAATGTTTACTTTTTTTGTCTTTTTTGTTGCAGTACTGGAAATACTTAGCTACAAGACTAGGGGGTTAGAGGGTTATTGTTGCTCTATGAAGTTCAAATGAGACGAGTTCTGACCCAAATGTGTCCTCAGTCCTAGAAAGACCCCCCCCTCACCCCCCCCACACACACACAGGCTGTTTGATATTCAGGTCTGAATCGTCTTCTTCATCATCGGTCTGTCCAGAGACATGATGAAGGAGGTTAGACTCCCCCCCCCCCCCCCCCCCCCCCCCCCCCCACACCCC